ACACAAGCGGAGCGACAAATTAAGAGATTTTACACACAGAAATGCTCACACATGAGCGCAGATACTTGCGCAGGTCACAGCAGTGGCACACGCGCTCACCTGAAAATGGTGAAGAGCCAATCAAAGAGGTAGAGACGCGAGTCCAGTCGACAGGCCACAAAATGTGCACGTAGTCGCGGCAGGTAGGTCTCCAGGAGGCGGTCAAAGGCGGTGAAGTAGGCAGTGAACTACACAAGAAAACAAGCAGAAAGATTACAAGAAAGAGAGAAAGAAAGAAAAAAGAAAGAGGGAGGGCACAAACGCGAAAAGGCATGTGGCAGCAGAACGTCGAAGTAACAAATGTATAGGCCGACTGGAGCATATGGCCTCTAAACGGTAAATAAGTGATGGCTGAAATGAGGTATTAAGTCGGCAACCAAGGAACAGCAAGGAAGTGACATACAAAATTCGATAAGCTGCTTTCAGCGAAGGGCTTATAAGAAATTTGAACGTCGCAATTACAACCAACATTTGTGTATTTATCCGCGGGCCAAAAGAATGGGTTCAGTTCTGTAGAAGAAGTTCTTTGGGAAAATGTTGTTTATTGGGTGAATTCAGTTTTGAAACTAGTCTGTCGCACTAAGTGCGAGAGCATCGAATGCGTGACCTTGGAGCAGCCATTTGTCACGTTGGACATTAATAAATGGCAGAAATTAGGTGTTTGCTTCTGAAGCACCACCTGACACTCACGCGGTTTTCTTCTTTTGGATGACATAAGATCAGCTGTGAGAAGTAAATGCGCCGGTGAGTCCTCTTAGTTAGAGAAATCAACGCAAAGTAAGTGATTTCTCATAGAAGCGAACAAACGAGCTCTAGGAAGCAGTTCAGAAATAGACGATGCGAATCTATGAATGCAGGCAATGGTAAGCAGTCGCATGTGCTGAGGATCGAAATTTCAGCACATGTTAATGACACAAATTTAAGTGCATTACAGTGGTCTGTTGGTGCATCGAAATCAAAACAAGTTTCAATCACCAATCCAAAGCCCTTCTTTACCTCACACGCCTTCAGCATCATTCAATGTCAACAGTTTGTTAGAATTTGCTTTTATAAACCCTTAATCAACAAACAAACAAAATCGACGTTAATGTTTCGAATACCAACAAACGCTTAGAAAGCTGGCGGAAAGGTAAAGATAACTGCTCATTGTTTGCGGTAATGAAAAGACAGTAGAATAGCTATTTCCAGTCTTCTAGCTGTAACAGTTTAACCGTCGATGTGGAATTTGTATGCTCCACAGCATGTTGGTGCGGGGATGGTGCCTTGCGCGTGGATTAATTTCAAGTGGTAGTGGACTTGCGCTGCGTCTACTGCACTCTCTCTTTCCTCACCCTCCTGTGCTCGATATCAAAACAGAGCCAAGAATACCGTAGGGGGATCAGGCGCAGGCAGCGGGCGCGGCATGAGCCTGTAGCTACGCGTGCCA